CAAAGACCCTTGAGATAAAGGTGCAACTTCCCTCCCCCTCCCAACTTTGGCATTTCCTAAAGGATTAAGCATCTTTCCTTAGGCTAGAAACTGATTGCCGCGCTCACCTGTGACCGCCCAGCTCCAGACAATCGACTTGCCTCCTGCTATGCCCACCAAGATAGCAGACCCACCACCTGCTGTGTCCATCGAGCGCTGTGCCGACAGGGCAATCTTGTGACTATTGTGGGAGGGACATTTCAATCATATGTGAAATGTCCTGTTTGGTGGTATATAACCACTCTATATACCTCACTTCTTTGGTGCGCTTTCTTCCTTCGGAAAGAAAGGCCCCAGGCCATGGTCCTCAGATTTCAGCTCAGAATAAACTCACCCAAATTTTCATTTATAGATTGGTTATGGATTATTTTCATCGACACTAAGGATGCTGTAATCTGCCCCCTTGTGGTGATCCTTGCGTTGATGCAGAATCTATTGCTCTTTCTATCAAAGAACCATACATCCATTCCTGAAAGGGGCCTGGAAAATGTTCTAATTCAGCTCCTAATTTTATACAAGATACACTGAGAACTAGATCATTGAAATGACTGAAACAAGTTTATAGCCTTATATAAGGAAAGGGGTGTATGTTTGTGTGGTAAATAGCATTAAGAGTCAGGTCTTTACTTCTGTGCCATATCCTCAAAGTAACCAACTGCAGAGTAAGCCCTGACAGTTGGATTATTTTCTTTGTCATGTTAAGTACCTGATTTAAACTTTGATTGCTGAGGCATCCACTTCAAAGAGGCATTCACCTCAAAGATGGCTCTATAAGACACTGGATCCCTCTTTGAGAAATTGAGCAGAAAAGCATTTCATTAGCATTCCTGGCTCGTCTGACTTCTTATTTCTGAAGGTCAACCATGAATTTCAGACCTTCCTCCAGGAGGGGCAGATAACCCTAAACATGATGTCCTCTCCTTGGACTGCACCTCCTTGGTCTCTTTCCATGACCAAGTATCTCGGGTCCTGGATGATGCTGGCATTTGTGGCACCTCAGAAAAGAAAAGATTGCACGAGATAGAGTCATAATGGAAGAGGAAGTGAGTGCCTTACAGTGAAAGAAGCCCAGGCAAGCTCAAACATCTTTGAAGTCTCCTGTGTTCATTTAAAAATTCACATGAATTTTGCTTTTTACTCCTTAATGCAGGTCTCTGTTTTCATTTGAATGTCAATTCCTTTCACAAAATCTTTGGGCAACACAGAGGTCCAGGGCATATTTAGGACCCAGCTTTCTCTATAACCACAGACAAAGCCCGGTGATGCTGATCCACTAGCCCAGAACTCACCTGTCCCCAGGAGCCAGATGAGCACTCAGCAGAGGAGTCTACTGTCCATGGCGGAGTTGGGCATGAAGGGGAGCCCACAGGCAGGGCCCAGGAAGGTGCTGCCTCCCATGAGGCAGGTCTTACTGTGAGGTCACCATTTCCAGAGGATCCTGTTGTCTCTAGAACTGATCTTGTACATCAATTGACTGGGACATCCTTTTTTCTTAACTATACTTACAAATTGGCTTAACACGTTAGTGCGGGGTAGAGCGTTGTGCAGGAAAAGTTGAGAGATGAGTACTTTCATTATTCATCCTTAATTTCTGTAACATTAAATTTTACCACTTCCTTCTCCGCTGTTTATCTTTTATTTCTTTATTTTCCATTCCTTGGCTCATATGATCTTTCCATTTTCTGTTGCTGAGTAGAGGTAGTGACCAGGTGTGATATCTAGGGACACATATTGAGAGACAGAGAAGTGGAGTGCTGGGGAAAAATTTAGAGACTTGAAAAGATTTGACTCATCTTCCTTCTTTCCTCCTTCACCACAGCAAAGCAGGGTTTCAAGCATTTTGAAGGAACCTTATTTTATAGTTTATAATTGACTTTTTTTGTCTTTTGTTATTGTACTTGAATTTTTGATATAAGTAATTAAAAGAACAACCGTAAGAAAAACTAGGGGCTCTTCCTCTCACCTCGTGTCTCCTGATTCTGTTTATGTGTCTGTGTTATTCTCTTTAAAATCATGGATGGGATACCTGTGTTTAAAGGATCTTCCCTCCTTCTATTCTTCTGTCCTTCTCTTCTACTCTGTGGCATGGAACAAAAATTCTGAGAAACCCTACTTTGTTCCAGGCATAGTGAAAGGAAGATACAAAGAAGAATAAGGCAGTACCAAATGTTAACTCAGTTTCAAATACAACACACTCCACAGAGAAGGATATAGACTTTGAGAAGAAAAAGAGAGTATTACAGTTAAAAAGACTTGTTCATTTATATCATGAATAATTTTGAGGAAATGTTGTAGAATTTTATTTGGAAAGTCCTGGTCCAAGGAGGACAGGACACCAATTTGGATCAGATTACATACAGAGCTATTGCCGTATTCCCCTAAAATAAGACATGTGGGCAGCCGGCTGTGTCTCTCACAGTCAGCTGTGTGGGAAAAGGCAAGTGTGGACACAGCATCCATCCATGCTAACTGACACTGTAATAGTGTGAAGCCTAATATAGAGGAAGGAAACAAATGACTGCTGGAGATAGGGATGTGATCGCTTTCTATGTTTCATGCCAGAACCCAAAATGCTCTTCTCTTGTCCTTGCCATTGGTGAAGGGAGCAGTGGGATATTTAAAAAGTGTTTTCCTAGCTCTCTTCTCCAGGCTGAAAATGCTGATAGAGTAGGGGGCTACAATTAAAATGAGTCCCTGGTTTCAGTGGCAATGAACACAGTCTGAGGCGACTGACCCCAGATGGAGTATTTAATCACCAGTAAGAACATGGACACGGTCTTCGTGTGGATATAATGCGGCAGCAAGTCCAATGCTGAATTGGCTCCCATCTTCGCCTGTTCAGTTCTACTCGGGTCTGGGGAAAGGTCTTGTTTCCACACCTTCATTTTCACACTTGGTGCCTAAGCCCTCACACCCTGGTTCTCACTACACAAAGTTCTTCAGTCTCCTCTTTCACAAACTCTAATCCCTTCTGTCACTTTATTTTTTCTCATTTTTGATATTATATACACGGGATTTGATTCATCTTAACCCTTGGTTCATCAAACCCACTCATTGTTCTTGGATGCGTGGTTATTTATTTATTTAAAAATATAGCAGGTACCTGTGAAACATTCTCTCCCTCTCGCCCAACAATACTCAAGCTAGACCTTGACAATACTTAAACTTAGCAATGTGGTTCTCTCCCATCCCATCTCCTACCACCCCCTTCCAAGTCCCACGTTAAACACTTTCCGAACTTGAGTCAGCATCATTTCTTATAACTATGTGTGGGTAAATGTTTGACAACAAACTCTCTGGAAGAAAATAAAACAAGCCCTGATTTGCTGTGTCTGCTGTTAGTTGTGGTGTCAATACTCCCACTATGGCTGATTTCAAGCTACCTACATGATGTCTTTGAAATTGGAGTTCAGAAAGGTGTGTACAAGTAAGACTCAAGAGCTGGTAAAAGCCAGTTCCAGCAACAACTCTTTCTTGTTTCCTTTCAATATAACTTTATGTAATTTATACTTAATTGTGAAAATTATTTTCTTGAATATTATTAGCTTTATAAAAAACTTATCATGCTTTACATAATATTATCGAGGTTTTTGCATTTTGTATTATATTGCTAAGATTCACCTATAACATTGCTCAACACTGGAGTTCATTCATTTTCTTTTCTTTCTTTCTTTTTTTTTTTTTTGAGGAAGATTATCCCTGAGCTAACTGCTGGCAATCCTCCTCTTTTTGCTGAGGAAGACTGGCCCTGAGCTAACATCTGTGCCCATCTTCCTCTGCTTTATACGTGGGACGCCTACCACAGCATGGTGTGCGAAGCGGTGCCATGTCTGCAACCCAGGATCCGAATCGGTGAACCCCGGGCAGCCGAAGCAGAACGTGCGCACTTAACCGCTGCACCACTGGGCTGGCCCCTCATTCATTTTCACAGAGGTACATATAGTTTTCCATCATGAGTATACCACCGTTTAAGCATTTAGTCTCTTTTCAATGCATATGTGGCTCTGTTCTATGTCTTGCTGTTACGAACAGTGCTGAAAGAATATTTTTGTTTTCGTGTCTTCTGATGTGCATATGTAAGAGCTTACCCTGATGTAAACGTAGGAGTGGAATTGCTGGGTCTTGGAATACAGGAATGATCAACTATATGAGATAATGCCAAACTCTTTCTGAATTTTTTGTATCGCTAAAGCTCCCACAGTAATCCCGTGGCTCCATGACCCTGATGAACAGATTCTATTTCCAAGCTTTCTATATCGCTGCACATTTTCCAGATCATCAGTGAATTTAATTGTCTCCTCATATATTTATTGGTCATAGGTGTTTCTTCTATTAAATATGTTAATATATTTTGCTAATTTTTTGATAGTCATATGAGATTTGTGTTCAGTATCATTTTTTGGTTCTTCCTAGGAAAGGGTTTTTCTGACAGGCTCACATTTACTGCTCCACCTATTATCTTCTGGCTTCTGACAGAACTTTCTAGTTCTGTTGACATCCATGTTGTCTGAAGTCTTTCTTATATGCTCCCTCTTCATTCTCTTCCCTTTGACACATTTCTCGAGATCCAGCTCAACAACACCCACTCTGTGAAGGTTTTGTGTGCTCTGTACCTAGGTAAAGAGAGTGCCCATCTTCCTTTGTATCCAGTCTTACACTGTTCATTCATCTATGGAAACACTACATATAGCATATCATCAAATCCTTTCATGAGTGAATATCTCTGGATGCCTTAAAATTCTCTTTACCTTGAGGATCTAGGATGGAGACAAGACAGTTCTGAATAGGCTTGGAGATCCAACTGCCAAGGTGTTATAGAAAATACACAGTGTCTTATACAAGCGTTGGGGATCTACCTAGAGGAGCATGTATGGATTTATCTAAGAACATATGATTAACATACAGCTGAGTCAGAAAAATTCCAAGTTTATAATCTTCAGCCCAGGGACCTTTCCATGTCATTGGCCGCTTTATGGACCCAGTTCCATTCTATTTGTCTAGCTTGCAAACACACCACTTCTCCACATTTCACACTCAGATATTTTTTTCTTTCTCTTTTTTTATACGCACACACACACAAACACACATACACACACAGACTCACAGATGTCTTAAAGGGAAGCTGTGGTTTTCCTCTCTCTACACCTCCTTCCACAGGGCTCCAGGGGTTTGGTGGGGTGAGAAAGAGGGGGCTGCTGCAGAGGATCTTGTTTGGGTCTCTGAGATCTGCCCAGCACTGTGTCACTAGCACTGCAGAAGTAGAGGCCGCTGTCAGCAGGATGCACACTCATCACTGTCAGAGTTGAAAATGTTCGGTTGAGATGGTTGATGGGAAATTTGGCCCTGGTAAAACCTTGTTCATATGTGATGCTGGAGTTGTCACTTGAAGCTACCATCAGTGTGAGGCCCTGTTTCGGCAACTGACGATACCAAAACATAGTTTGGGCCTGAAAGTCCATTGCTCGGCACTCGATCTTCACAGAGGTTCCATTCATACAGATAGCCTTGCTTGGATGTTGAGAGACGAGAGCACCAAGTCCTAAACCTGCTGAAACAGAGGTCAAAGAGATGAACGAGGCCAGCAGAACCAGTCAGACATGTCCACAGCCAGAGAACCCACAGCCTCCCTCCCTCACCTTTTTCCCAGCTCCCAGACAATCCTGTTTGTTTTGTAAAATCTTCTCAGACTTCCTAGAATCATCATCCCCCATCTCTCCTGACTGGTGACTTCTCACCGTACCCTTTACATCCCCAGGGGTATGGATGTTCCCTCTCATTGTAATCAGCAGAAAGTATCCACAATCTCCAGCTATCACCTCACTCACGGCAACACCCATGCACAACTGCCCAAGCTAATGAAATATATAAAAAGGCTCATACTGGGGCTCAGAAGCAGCAGAAGCATCAGCATCTTCAGGGGTTGACCTCACACCACACCTGTCTCAAGAGAGTTGTGACCCTGCTCTTCATTCTTCCTTCCTCCTCCCTTAGAAGGATGGATGACTGCTTACATGATCCTGAGAATGCTCTAATCTGCCCCCTGGTGGTGACCTTTGCCAATGATGTAGGATCCATTACTCTTTCTGACTATCAAAGAACTAACTGTATATATGCTGCTGAAAGGGACCTCAAAAATGTTCAGTTCAACTCCTAATTTTACAGAAGATACACTGAGATCTAGATCACTGAAATGACTGAAACAAGTTTCTTAGCCTTACAAAAGGAAAGGGGAATATGTTTGTGTCATAAATGGCATTAGAGTCAGTTCTTTACTTCTGTGCCACATCCTCGAATTAACCAAGTACAGTGTAAGCCCTGATGGTTGGATTTTCTTTTTTGTCATGTAAGTGCCTGACTTAAGCTTTGATTGCCAAGGCATTCACTTCAAAGAGGCATCCACTTCAAAAATGGCGATCTCAAATATTCACATTGCCAGCCATATAACTAGATACAGAGCCGGGCCCCCTCCCTTCAGTCCTCCAGCCCAGCCTCCTTTGTTTTAAAGATCTTGATTGATTATGATAACTGACCACTTGGGCCACTTATTTTTTGTTTTCCCACACTTTAAATTGCTGCTCTTATGTTTTAAATTCACCAATATGGAGTGAGTCCAAAAAACACGAGGCCTCCACCCTCAACCCCAGTGAAAACAGGATCCCAGGCCCTTGCATGCTTTCTCTACTTGAGATCTGGCTGTGTAGCCCCAGCTGTGCCATGTAATTTCTAGGACCTGTAAGTAATAAATTTTTTCCTAGGACGTTCCTAATGGTTATTGCTGAGGGCATCTTGAAATACTGATAATAACCACAGGGCTTGTCCAGCCACGACATTGGTTATTCATAGGCTGAGACAAGCACACAACACCAAGACAACTCATGGAGGTTTATCACCAGAATTATGGGTGGGCATAAGAAGTCCTAGGCTAGAAGTTCAATATTTTTTTATATTAATGATTAGGATACATCCTCATCTTCCAAATGAGCAATTTATTTCACAACTATGTCATGAGAGTCCCCCCTTATTGGTGGACTTAATTCTAAACATGACTATCTATTATAATCTATATGTCTTCATGTAAAGCACTGTGGAGGCCATGAGGATAATTTATTTATAGCTCTTTCACCATGATGCAGGTCATAAGTTATGTATTGGCTAACGGAAATAGCTTCTAGGAGATTTGAGGTTTTACTTCTGCTTTGAACATGATGGGATATTTGTTTTAAATGTCTTACTCTTGGAAATGCATAGCAATTTCAGAGAGACTGAAGGTTTTATTCCCCAAAGCATTACGCTTTCATTTTTCTATCAACCTCCCAGTTGTGCCTTCACTCAGTATCTAGTTCTTTTTATCTGGAGTGGGTAACTAAGAAAAGTGGGATTAGGACTTGATCCATCAAATTATGTTTGTCCTATAGTGACACAGATTTTAATCATAGGAAGTATGATTATTGCATACTAAATATTATGGTATACATAAGACTAATATACGGATTAAATGTCATCTTACAAGCTCCTGTGACTATATTTGTTTCATGGTTGGTAGACATCATATTAGACTGGGACCAACTCCTACTTTAACTGTACTTTTCCCGCAAAGAGTAGGTTAAATTACCTTGTGATGCATTACTTCTGGTATAACATTATGACATATATGGGATAAAGTGGCTGGAAGCCCCCAGATCAGAAGAAAATCTTTCTACTCCTTTTGAGGACCACCAACTATCAGGTACACACCTGTGGTTTATATTACTGTATCAACTTAACTAAGGAGGAAATGCTTTTCCCAGAACCTTCTTCCTGGTATAGTCCTTGATTAGATTTGATCTCAAGAAAATTATTTGCAAATGAAGCAGCTGTTACTATGCTCTGAAGTCATCATTGGTCCAAGGCAGTGAGGAACAGAATCAGAATTATGAATTTATCATATTATGGTAGCTACTCTTCAAAGATGGCACCCAGATGAAACATAACTCCCAGTATTCATGTTTACGTCAGTTCCTTCCTCTTGACTATGGGCTGGCCTGTTGGGGTAGAAACAGATGTAAGATTTTCCAAGATGGAACAGTACCCTTGTAGATCCCACCTGGCTCTCCTGAATGCTCACTTTTGAGGAAGCCAGCCGTTATGTAATAATTTTAACTACCCTGAGGCCACCATGCCATGAGGAGAGCCACCTAACCACATTGAGGGGCTGTGTGAAGAAAGAGAGACATGCCAGGCTGGTCCACAGCTATTTCAGCCACCCCAGGAGAGGAATCAGGTATGTGCACAAAGAAGCCATCTTGGCTGTCCAACCCAGGTTAGCTTTCAGATGTCCCCAGCCTCAGTGACTTTTTGACTGTGACGACTTGAGAGAGCCCAGTGGGAAGTGCGCAACAAAGACTGTTCAAGCCACAGAACCATGAGAGATAAAACATTTTTATTTTAGGTTACTACATTTTGGGGTGGTGGTTGTTAGCTTGGTTTTCTAAGCTTTTTAAGTGAGATATATATATATAATAGACTGCACAAATCTAAAGTGTATAGCTTGGTAAATTTTCACAAGCGAATACACTTTTGGAACTGTAAGCCAGATCAAGATATAGGACATTTTCAGAAGCCCAGAAGCCTCCCTCATGCTTCTCTCCAGGTAAATTGAAAATATCACCAAGTAGCCACTATTTTACCTTCACGTACTGTGTACTCTTGCTTCTGGCTTCTTTTATTCAACATTATGTTTATGAGATTCATCCATCCATGATTTTTCAAATAATATTTGATTTTTTTGCTATATTTTATTCGATTATATAAATGTAACACAGTTTATCCATTGCATTGTTGATTGACATTTAAGAGTTTTCCAGTTTGAGGTCATCAAGAACAAAGGAGCTGTGATGATATGGTTTTCTCACATATTCCCTTCTTTTTCCTCAAAATTCTGGAATATTTCTTCAGTTTCTATACAATTAACAGTTAGTTCTCTGACTTCTCTAATTTACTACTATTGCTTCCAGCGTATTTTTAAATTTAGAAATCGTGTTTATTGTGTTCTTTCATTATATTTTTATATGAATTATTCTTCTTAGTTAATAGATGCAAAGGCTTCTCAAAACTTACCTAGGAAACATTTAGTGATATTTCAACTTTTTAAATTTTTTGGCTTTATTTTCATACAAGAACTCTCTTACAGCTTGATCATGGAAATCAAAGCTATTATGAAACTTCACAGCTTTTTAGTGTCAGGAGCAATATGAAAAAGTAAATGGTTCAATAGTTTTAGAGCGAACGTTTTAAAATCAAGTAAAGTCCCTATGCTTTGTTTGACAAATTCCTCAATGGACAGAAGAAATCTGTATCCCTTCCAGTTATTCCCAAGACAACAAAGAAGAACAAGACTGTCTCTCTCTTCCTGTCATGCCTTTAATCTCCTTTCTCTCATTGGACAGATAGCCTCACCCCATCCCATGGCCTCTGGAATGTGGCTTGCACACAGGGAGCAGAGAAGTCTAGGGCTGTCTCCCCGACTGCCACAAAAGTCCATGACGGCATCATTTGGCTCAGGAAATAATTGACCTGGGGGTGTCTGTGAACATGCTCTGGACAGTCCAAGTGAAGCATCTTAGATCCGTCCCATTCCCAATGATTTCCTCATTGTTATCAGAGAGCATTAGTTGCAACGACAGCTTTGAATGCTCATCACACCACATCAGTGTTTTAAATCCTATTCAGAGGTTAGTGTCTCTTTCCCATATCTATATCTCAATATATTGGTCTCTGGGTGAGTCAAGCTACCACAGAATATATGGGAGAAGAAAGCCAGAAATAACCACAGAATCAGGAAGGGATCCAAACAAAAGACATGAAGCCAAGGCTTGTGTTTGATAGTCAAGGAGAGTCTTTCCATATTTTTCCATAATTTGCTTGCCTGAGGAGACACAGGGCTACAAAAGAGAACAGACTCGGCTTCTCAGATTCTTCCAAGATTATTTAAAAATATAGTTCATCCAGTAGTTTTAGTTGGATGCATTGTGAAGGTTAGTCTGAAAAATATAGACTGTCATTCACTTCTGGAAACAGAATTATGTGATCAAATAAAAACTTGTAAACAAATGCAGTCCCAGGAATTAATACCATTTGCCTTCTAATTCCATAGATACGTGGAAGACCACAAAGGGCAAAACATATAGAAAACATAAAGATCATTTGCAAAATAATATTGACTACCTGTCTGGTGATTACCCACGCAAATATTTCTCTCAAGCCCGACTCTCTCTTCTAAGTGCAGAGTGCATTTACAGGAGCCTACTGAGTTTTTCTATGCAGATATCCATGGAAGGCCCACTAGCTCTAGTAACTCAATTTTGTTTCATAACTTTGCTCCACTCATTCTTCCAACTTTTCTCTTATTGTCGTGTTCCAAGGGAGGGGGGATTAATCATCTTTATTCTTGATATTATCTCATAGTTCTCTCCTAACATAGGTCCCTAAGCCTGTATCACTCAGGTGGTGCTTGTGCATCTGGTGAAATCCTACTCACCATTCGAGCTTTGTCTCATATTTTGTCTTTTCTTTGAAGCCCTTCCCGGTGTCACCAGACAGAATTGGACATGTTGTTTCTTATACTCCACCAAAACCTCTGATTAAAGTACACGTTTGCTATTAGATTACAGTATTTATCTTCTACACATTTCTCTCCTCACTAGGTTTTTATTGTCTTTCTGAAGAAAGAGACCATTTTAGGTTCATTTTTCTTTTCCAGTGTTTGGTAAAATAGAAAACAGAACTGGGTTGTACAATTAACCTCTCTCTTCCCTCCCCTCCTCTTTCTTGTCCTCCTGCTCCTCTTCTTTCTCCTCCTTCTTCTTCCTCTCTCTCTCATCATGATATAGTCAGACAGATAGATAAATATATAGATATATGCATATATGTCACGTTTAAAACCAAGTTAATGTATCGCTGAAGTCCCTGCCATTCCACAAAGATCGCTGATGGCGGCAGCTACTTTGGAGGCCTGGTTGAGGTGGAAGGAAGCCAG